ACCACTCTTACGAACCTGGTTGAGTTCGGCAAATCGCTTCGCCTATCAGTTATCCAATCTTCCCTCGCTCGTTTTTAGCCCTAACCGTTGGCGCCCGAAGTGACGATATTTTAGTTCGATAGTCATTTCCCTGAATTTTGCTTTAATCCTGGCATATATGCACACATGAGTGGACACACGGATGCACTTATTGAGCATTCACTATCGGGGCGTGTTCTGTATCGTGTATCGTCTTTGCTCGCCGAAACACCTGCCAGCTTGCTTGTCTGGTTTGTCCTATCGGCGTAGTTCGGTTGTAAAAATTAATCTTTTTGATCGGATAAGATTACATTCCGCCTTGGTGTTGGAATGCAACTTTGTGTGAACCAATCCAGGAGAGGAGAAATAACATTGAGGGAAGGCTGAAACCATGTCCGTGGTTCGATCAACTACGGAAAACACTGGCTTTCCAGTCATGATTTGTAGATTTATGCGATTATTGTAATTAAAACAATATGTGCGACGTTCAAGGTCATATTAAATTTGTTTTCTTTGCGCCGGTTTAATTATCATCATAAATTAAGAAAATGAATGACATTTCATTGGTACCGTTCCTGGATTGACATGGTTATTTTATTTAGATGTTGATGTTTGTAGACTCGACCTGAAGGTACAAGGACGATCAGAGTAATTTCTGAGAAGGCGTGAAAGGAACGGGACAAAGAGGAGGCAACAACCAGGGTTCAATAGAATTGTAGAATTTATTGAAAGGGGAGGGAGGGCGCATAATTTAATAGCTGATAATGGAATTATTGGCGAAACAGCTCAAACATCAACCCTCTTCCCCACTTAGTGCTGTTATTTAAAGAAGCACATGTATACCCTTCAAAAGTGTATTTTGTGTTCTGTCAATTGGTTGTGTCCTCGTGGCTGTGAGGTCAACGGTCGAGAGAAATTTGTCGAGATAAGACCGAGTTCGGTGTTGTTGTGCACACATCATGGGACGATCCGTCGTCTGAAGAAACTCACTAGGAAGTATCATAGAATGTCCTCAGTTGATAGCGTGAGGATAAAGTATCTTGTTTACAGTTTTCCTGAAAACAACTCCGGATTACTGATTTCCGCTGCAATTAGTCTAACTAACAATGTGATATGCTGTCTCCCATTCCCCACTATCAATTGTAGTTAGGTGGTTGCTTAACTTCTTCTTGTTTTTGGATTTCTGTTGTGACCAGATCCTCTTCCACTGTACGTGCAACCAATCCCAAATCCGATACCGTGGGTCAACAACAGCAGCATGACCATTCTGAAGCACCACGTTTTATCCTCAACCACAAAACGGTATTCACCTTGGGCTCTTCAGCAAATGCGTAAGTGAATTCCCTCCTAATTATCAGCCACAAACCTGTCTCTTTACTCTGTCTCACCTGTCGTGTGATGTCCATGGACTATTTTACCGAGGTCCTGTTCGATACCAGGATCAGCCTCATACTGTTTCACGTTATCCCGGTTTTGGATTTTAGATTGGTGGTTCATTTCTGTAGTGTGTCACACAGCTGAGTGTATTGGTAAAATCTAGATGTTGATAGTTTTATATATGTACACGTAGTACTATAACTATACTTGATACATTCGTCATTGGTGTTATCCGGAGGTGGTAACTAACTAAAGCCATTGTGAGCAATCTGTTCAATCCCAAGAACAAGATATTCAAGTAACCGCTATGCATGTTCACCCTTGATTTTTTCTTATATCCAGTTGGTTGGGCATGGGCGCGGCTCGCGGTCGCATCTACACCAAACATCCTGAACTGTTTCGCTATCAATGTGATGCAGAGGACAAGGCATGGCTGGTGCGCAACGGATTACTTGCCAGTCATGGTGTTAAGGCCTACTTGATGCACTCGGATCAAGTAAAACACATTGGCCTGGTGAACGGTCGAATTCCGTCTCCGTCCACAAACCCCAGTCAATCGGACAGTTTACCCTCGTTCACCGTGCCAGCATGGCTTGTACAAAAGGTAATTTATCTTTCCCAAACAAATCTCAGATGCCCCCTTCCCCCCTCCCCCCAGGTTATCACGCTGAATTCGTTTTTTGCCTGTCGCTTTCGTGTTGAATGTTGTGGATGATTCAATTCAATGAATCGCTCAGACTGGCCTCCCGATGGTTTTCATCATCTTCTCTGCTCACATGTGTCCCCCTATACACCCAAACAATCAATGCCATTTTTAATTACTGCTG